CTCTCTCTCTCTCTCTCTCTCTCTCTCTCTCTCTCTCTCTCTCTCTCTCTCTCTCTCTCTCTCTCTCTCTCACACACACACACACACACACATGTATATGTGCTGCAGGTGAATGACTTCCTTGGTGGTCAGTCAAGGGTGGGGTCAGTGTCGACCGCCGAAGGTGGGGCTACTCAGACCGGAGTGACTGGCACAGTGGCAACGAATATCGAGAGCATGTGGGAAGCGTCATTGCTTGATGGCTTCGATGACGACAGAAAAGACAATGATGGAAGGTCATCTGGGTCATCATCACCAGAGTCCACAAGATCTGGAGGGTCTGATAGACGGTCCAATTTATCAGGATTTCCATCCCGGCTTTCGTTGATGTCACCACAGAGAGAGGAAATGGTATGGGAGCTTTCATGTTTTCCATTTGCTTCACAAATCCATCTCATTGCATCTGCCATAGCGAACCTGATTTTGTGACAAGGGATCTAGCAAAAATGGAAAAAGGCAGAAAGAAAGCTTTAAAAACTATTAAAAACTTAAAAAGTTAATAAGTGAATAACTGATAATAAGACTATATTTTCTTATCTTCTCCATAACTGCCATTTCATTAAAATTGTCAAAAAAACAAAATCATTGCACGAAATTGACGGTTAAATTTTGTTTGCTTTTTAGGGGTTTTGCATGTTCATCCTGCGCATAAGCAGTGTTATAGCAGGGTTTAGCTTTCCTACACCTTCGAATAAATACATGGCAAAAAAAAATAAAAATAAAAAACATGCTGTATACAATACTGAATTACCTCACCCATACCAGATCTTGTAGGTCAAATGCAAGAAAAAAAAAAGGGGGGGGCACCTAAACCCTAATATAGCACTTCTAATGTGCAGTACGAAGTTACGAACGTCTAAAAGACGAAAACCCCCCAAAAAGCACTCAAAATTTATCGATAAATTTCATGCAATTAAAAAAAATATTTCATTGTTTTCAATTTTTGTCAATTTAAACAAAATGGCAGTTCCACAGAATCACCTGGCCTCGCCCACCTAACATCGGACCTCAGCAGCATGAGCGTACGCAATTTCTCTCTCCTTGACCGAAAAGAAAGCCTCAGCATGCGTCAATTCAGCAAGCCAATTAGAATTGAAAGTAGATGCAAATTGAGTGGCTTGCCCCTCTCTTTCTCTAGCGGGTCTCACCGTCATGCTGATCGAGTGGTGTTCTCCACTCTTTATTTATACATACTTAAAGAGACATGACATGGCTGATCTCGACCAGAGGAAGAGTGATGTTCATGACAACGGAGATTGTTCAGCACGTCATGAGAACAATGTGCAGCATGTTGATAATGATGATATGGATGATGATCTGATGCGCATTCCGATGAAGGAGAAGGCAGG